TTTCTTCTGGGGATCATCACAATTTGGAAGAAGTTAGTGCTGTTCTGGGATGTAGTTGTGTGGGGTGGGTGCTTGTGGTGGGTTGACCCTGGCTGCATGGCAGGCACCCACCAAAGCTGCTCTCTCACTCCCCTCCACAAAGGGGGCACCCACCAAAGCTGCTCTCTCACTCACTCCCCTCCACAAAGGAACAGGGGAGAGAAACCAAAAGGTTCATGAGTTGAGATAAGGACAGGGAGAGATCACTTACCAGATACCATCATGGGCAAAACAGACTCAGCTTGGGGAAATGAAGTCATTTTATTACTAACAGGATCAGGCATGATAATGAGGAAATAGAACAGACCTTAAAACATGTTCCCTCACTCCTCCCTCCTTCCCAACTCTTCCTCCTCTCCACTGAGCAGCACAGGGAGATGAGGAGTGGGGGTTACAGTCAGTTTATGACATGTGGTTTCTGCCACTGCTCTCAGGGAGAGGGGTCCTTCCCCTGCTCCAGCATGAGGTCCCTCCCACAGGAGACAGCTCTCTATGAACTTCTCCAACCTGAGTCCTCCTCACAGGCTACAGTTCTCCATGAACTGCTGCAGAATGGGTCACTCTCCACAAGTGCAGTCCAGTCCCTCATGGACAGCTCCAGCACAGATCCCACACAGGATCACAAGCCTATCAGGATCTCTGCTCCAGTGTGGGTCTCTTCCCTCTGTGGGTCCACAGGGCCCTGCCAGGAGCTGTTCCAGCACAGGCTTCCCATGGGGCCACAGCCTCCTTTTGACCTGCTCTGGCATGGGTCTCTTCCATGGGCTGCAGGTGGATCTGTGCACCCTGTTACCCTCCATGGGCTGCAGGGGCACAGCTGGTTCACCATGGGCTTCACCACAGGGCACAGGGGATCTGCAGCTTTGGCACCTGGTGTATCTCCTCCCCCTCCTTCTGCACTGACCTTGGTGTCTGCAGAGTTGTTCCTTTCACATATTCTCACTCCTCTCTTCTCTGGCTGCAATTACTTCTGCATAATAACTTTTTTTTCCTTCTTAAATATGTTATCCCAGAGGTGTCACTACCATCACTGATTGGCTCAGTCTTGCTACAGTGATGAGTCTGTCCTGGAGCTGCTGGCATTGGCTCTGCTGGACATGGGGAAGCTTCTAGAAGCTTCTCCCAGAAGCCACCCTTGTAGCTTCTCCCACTGCCAAAAAAAGCCCCTGGCCAACAAAACCAGTACAGTGCTCAGTGGGGCCTCTGAGTACAAGTGGAGCCATGTGGGACTGGGTAGAAGTGTGATGGAAAGGCAGAAATACAGCTTATTGCTTGGAATTAGAAAAGGCTGTTGTTAAATTGGAAGAAGTGATCTGCAAGTAATTGTAACTCTTGTTCTGAATGTATGGGATTGGCTAAGGTAGAAGAAGCCAAAAAAACCCCATCCCTGGCTGGAGGTTCTGGTATTTAATACAGCATCCCAAGCATCATCTGTACTGCATTAAGGATTATCTCCTCTCTGGACTTGGAAATAAGCTGGTTGCTTGTCTGCTATGCTTACAGCCTGTGCATTGTGTTTGTTACTTCACACGCTCACTCTGCAGTCTGTAAAGGGATTTAGCTGATTATAATTGACTAAAGAACATTCAAAAGTGGTTTAAGCTCGTAATTTTGTATTGAGTGACTTAGGAGAAGTAGTATCAGTTGACCCCTGAGGACACTGTGTTTAGTGAGAGGGAAAGGGGAGACAAATCTCTTGTATATGAGCTTGGCATGTCCCCCCTAAACCAGTGCTGGCTGAATCCAGAAAGGCTGCCAGGCACTTTGGAAGAGGTGAGAGTCACTTACTGGGATTTTGCTTTCCTCTGAAGTTGTTGCAGTCAAGGGGAATCAAAGCCAGTCGTGATGGGAAGGACTCCTAGTGAATTAGTGTGTTTGGGGATACAAAACATCTTTTTGCACAGGGGACAGACAGCTATGTTAATGCAGCAGCTTCTATGCACTGAGCGTGATCTTATGTAGTTCTTGGGTCAGCTGAGATTAATATTAAGATTTTAGTTGTCCTAAAAGACTGAGAATTTAAATATAGTAATAATTATAGTGTTTATGTGTAGATATAATGCTGTTATATCTGCTGTTCCAAGATGCAATGGAAAATATTTTTTATTTGCAGGGAGTTAATGTAACTACAAAGTTATTAGCAAAGGTAGGAAAAAACCCTGTAATAAGAGAGTGCTCAGTGTTTGTGTTCAATCCTGTTATTCTTTACTATTTTATTTAAAACAATATATGCATGCAGTATTGCACAGCAAATTCCTTCTCAGGGTCACTTCTTAGGCTATAAAATACTTCTTATAAACCCTTTACCTTTCAAAGGGACAGCAAACATGAGCTGTGTTCTTTAAAATGAAAAATTTACCATTAATGTTGTTTGGTTTTGGGGTTGGTTTTTTTTTCTGTGGGTCAAATACTGCTTCCTGAATCCTTGCCTGTGACCTCTGAGCTTTACTGTGCACTGATTTATTTTGGCATGATGTGTTGGGACTGCAGACTAACAAACAGTGCTCTGAGGTGAGGTACCTATACATGAGGCAACTCAATTCACTTGCTTTAAGTTGAAGGATTTGGAGTTCAAAGGAAATCTTCACTGTCTGCCAGCAATAAGGATCTGTCTGTTCTAGGAAAATCTCTTGTGGTCAGAGTATTTCAAGTCTTGCTCTCCCCCTTCTGCCTTTATTTCCTCCTTCTCCCAGTCTTGTCAACTGGAGTTTTCAATGGTTGATCTACAGCATATGCTAAGAGTGACAGCAAGAGCGTGCTAAAGGCTAAGGCAAACTTGTAGGAGTACCTTGTAATTTGGACCAGTGGAAAAGTTACTGCAGCTAGCTTGGCTGAATAACACAAATTCTTATTGCCAATTCCCTGATGAAAACATGGGGCTGCTTTCCTGAGCAGCCGATGTTGGTGCAGCGTGTTGCCGAGGCTGTGGTTGTGCCTTGCACAGATCATCTTCTGTCTTGTGCTCATTCTTTCAGTTCCTGCTAAGGTGCACTTGGAAGAGCAAGTGATAAGGAATGAGCAAAGTCAGTCTGTGCTGTGCATGCCTAGTGTGACATGGGAGAAAGACCCAGGTGAAGCTGGTGCTGGCTGAACACTAGGCATGGCAGTACACAGGTCTAGCTGGGGCTGCTGAGCTGCCTTTCCCCACCAAGACTTCTGTTGTCAGGTCAGACTTAGAAATATCTCCAGCTGCCAGGTGGGCATGAACTTTTGACTGCACTGAGAAACCTGATTGCACAGAATGAGAGTGATGCTGTGCACACTTGCTCTAGGGACAAAGCTGCAGAGAAGTACATGAGTAAAGGTCAGTAGTGCAGGTACCCTACAACCTGGTCATTTTGGGTCCTGCATCTCTGGGAGATCTAGAAATGCTCCTTGTATTTTCAACAGGTAAAATAACTCTTTACTAGACTAAATGGCAGGAAGGAGACTCTTAGTTTTTAGAGAACTTGTAGGGTGATTAGGGAAGCTGAATTTGAGGCACTCCATTTTAGTATCCAATTTTGTCCCTATCTTTGGCTCTTTGATAATCCAGTGTGGACCTGTCTGTTGTGTGTCCTCTGCAAAGCTTGGGGTAGCTCTTTATATTTCACCCCTTTTCAGGCTAAGTGGTTTTGAGGCTAAAACTATCTTGCCCTGTTTGGGGTTTTAGGATATAGATATAGAAGGAAAAATTGGAGACAAAAATTTCATGGTCTGAAGCATCAAAATATTGCAATCTGAGTCAAAACTAATAAATGTTATCTGAGGCTTTCTTGTAGAAGGAAAAGCTCTTAGATTCTTAAATTCACAACCACAGCTGGGGCTAGAGCTGAGAGCTCAGGCCTAAACTTCCTGTATGGATGGCTAAATCAGGGTCTTACCTGTGTAACTGATGACTCTTAGATGTTCTTCACTATGGTGTTTATACCATTCGTACATGCTGCTCGTTGTGTGTTTTGAACTCCCTTTGTATCTTCAACTGCATTCATCACATACACGTGACAAAAAGCTGATCTCAGCACTCTTTGATGGCTGTGACATTTTTCTTTATAACTTCAGGATGAGGACTGAAGCTTGCTTCAGTGCAGAGGAAGAGGGTTGCCCTTAAAAATGACTTAGGGAGGAGACTTACAGTTGGTCTGGTTCAGGCTGAACTGTTGGGAAGCTCACGTAAAGCTTTGAAAAGCCTGAGAAACAAGAGGGTAAATATACATAAAAGCTGATGATCTGCTCTAATGTCAGTGGGAGCTGCTTCAGTGACTTCAAGGGTGAAGGCTCCTCCATTGGGACAGATTTATGTGTGCATTGATAATGTAGGAAATACCTTGTTTCATGTGGGGAAATGAAGGCTTACTGTGTGTGTGAATCTTCCTCAGTAACAGCTGATGTGTCTGTGTACTGTATTGGAAGACCTGAAACAGTAGCTTTTCCTTGTTTTCAAAGTTTCCTTTAACCTTTTGCATAGAGCAGGAAAATCAAAGCAGAAATCAACCTTAGTTGCTTGGTTTTGACTGACTTGAGGTAAAGGCAGGACCAGGACTATAGTTCCCCATATTATCAGTGTGGTCAAGCTGGTGAAAGCCTTTCTGCTGAGCCTGGGAACAATGTTAAGGGTCCCAGAATGAGTTGGAAGGCATCATGTCTGTGCTGCTCTATGCTTGTGGGCTTTGAGGCTTTTGACTTAAGCTGTTCTCTGTTGGGACCTGAGGGAAGAAGAACAAAGTACTTTTCTGAAGAGTCTCTCTGAATTTGGGAATGGACTTTTCCTGCCTCTGTGCCCTTGCTTGTATGTGGTGTGTAATGATACTTACCTGCCTTTTGTATATTTTTATTTTTAATTCATGCTGATAGGAATCCAAGTTGTTTATTTTCTTCCTTTTTTTTTCTTTTTTAATAGGTATATTGCAGTGGATCTGAAGTTGGTATAAGAAAGAATTGCTTCTGGGAAGAGAAACCTCCCTGCAAGGCCAACCCTGAAGATGTGGACTGCCATTGTATTCTTCCTGCTGGTTTCCTTCTGTATATGTGAACACAAGTTTTCTGTCCTGAAAGGCAGAGGAGTCCATGTAGTGCAAATAAATAGGCTTACAAGTGAAAAACAATGCAGGGAAGCTTGTCAAAGCCCAGGGGCTTCAGGTGAGGCTCTTTGTCCCTTAACTGGAATTCCAGCTGGGTTTTCTGTTCTCTAAAGATCTCCACTGCTCCCCTGCCAACTTTCTTTCTTAATTCCAGCTGTCTAAAGGCATTTACAATTCTCTGTGCAGTGCTGTGGTGCTGAATAACTTCTGACAGCTTTGGTTAAATTGAATCCAGAACAACCATTTCCCAGGGCCCTTCTAGCTTCCATAAGAAACAGCATCCATGTGCTCTTGGTGTGCACTGATAGCGTGCAAACAGTGTTGGGTCACTTGAATTGAGGAATGATTATTCCATGCTGCCAGATGTTTGCAAGTGAACAGTGCTGTTGTAGACAGCTGTGCTAGAATGAGCAGTCTTTGCTCCCTGGTATTTATGTGTGTGTTTTCTGCCTCAGAAGAAACCACTTGTATCCTGCAACCAAGCGTGGGGCTAAATAAGTCTGATCAGATGAAAGCCTTCTGCTCACTACCTCTGAGATGTCTTTATAAAGCATCAGACTTCTAAATGAGTCTTTCTGAGTTGTCCCTATGAAGGTCCCAACCTTACCTAGCCACAGGTGAAAGCTTGTAGCATCTACAAACAGCTGGGGATGCTGTGGTGAAGATGAGACCTTGGCTTGGGTGGATGAATATTTGACATTCATCATAAAGATGCCATTTTTAATGCCCAGTGGTTTCAAATCACCTTCAAAGCATCTTTATAAATTGTTTTGTTTAGGAGATAAAGTAAGAGTGAGTTTGTCTCCCAGGCCCTAGAGCTGTGAAAACTCCAGGCTCTGTTTAAGGTGGTGACCCATAGACAGCTAACACATTCACACTGACTGGGCTGACACTTAGGGTCTGTAGCACTGCTGTTCCACCTGAGGATCTCCTAACACTGTGCACATGTCATCTTAACTTTCTGATGTCTTGACAAGGGTAGAACAGTTGCAATCAGCTGCCTTTTCCAGGAGAGTGAAATGATGCAAAATGATTTAGCTGCATGCTTGGCTCTGTTGCTGACTTTAAGCACTTTTTTTTCATACTTCACTTTGTTCTCTCCTGATGTGTTTGTAAAAAACAAGGCCAGGTGAGCGTTAGCTTTGTTGTGCAGAGGAGGTTGACCCTGTAGAATTAGGTGACCCATTCCCTCTTCAGGAAGACATGCAAAACTAAACCCAAAAGCATAAACTTTTCCAGGTTTTACATTCTCTATTAAACCTACTGAAGAAATTTAATTCCTATTTGTTACTTGATGGCCAGTCTTGCACTCTCTGGTGTTGTGGGAGGTGGAAGGATGGGAACACTTGGCATAAATGTATAGCCATGTGGGGAGATCATCTGGAAAGAAGGACCTGAAATATCTCTTTTGTTATTAGCTTTAGATTTTCAAATCAGCTTTCCTGATCGCATTCTCCATTCCCACCTTCCCCAACTGTATTTATTTTTGTGCTTTCTGTCATTACAGACACCAGGCCCAAGGCTTAGATGTCAGAATCATTCCACATAAGTAACAGTCAGTAAAGAAGAAATGGTTGTTATTTTTTGAGGTATTATACTGTTAAGTTGCAGGCCAAGGTGGCATGGGGAGACAACTTCATAGCTACATTGCTTGGAGAAGTGGAAAATTAACATTCCTAGCTGATTAGGTACTTTTCTGTAGATGTAATTTGTACTGTTGCTGACATAACATCAGTTACTTAGAGAATTAGTGCAGCTACCACAGCAGGGAGGAACCTTTTGAAGTTCTCTGGTCCAAACCCAACGTAGATCTGTCTGTTCAAGACCTGATGGAAAGAGTACCACCTCTCCTGGCCTCCAGCCCAGTGTCTGAGTGCCCTTGTGGTGGAAACTCATGTTCTCCCTTGATCCTGAGTTGTAATTTCCTGTAAATCAACTGTTTCAGCCCCTCAGACATCTTGTAGTCTCCCTTAGACTCACTCCAGTATTTCAATACCACTCTTACATACAAGGGACCCCAAAACTTGGCACAGAATGTCTCCTCAGCATTGGCTGGAAGAGGTTCATTCCTTCCCTCAGAGCTTAGTTATGTGTGTGTAGACATACCCAGAGAGAAGTTAGTGAGTTGAAAGGAATGCCAAGAAAGAGAGTTCTTGCTGTGATGAGTTTATTTAGCTCGTGTTGGAATTCAGTGTACTAAAAGTCAGTTCTGTGATGGCTCCCACGGCTGATGGTATCATTGTCCAATGAATGAAGAGTAAATTTCTGTGTAACTCCAAGCACTGAGACGAGAACTGTCTCCCGTGGGTGAAGAGATGAGTGCCTTCTTGATTTTTGGCTCACTTTTTTTTCCCATCATTAAGACATCTAGATGAATGCTAGCATTTCCCTGGGACCAAACTGCAGTGCAGCCTCTTTGTCTCTGTCTGGGTGAGTGAATTGCTGTAGTTAGGAGATGTCAGTACCAGAAGACAAGCAGGAGGTAGCTGCAGCTGCTATATTGATTTCACTGGCTTTCCAGTTATTTTCACTCAGACTGAGTCAGGATCCTTTAAGGCCAGACCTTCCAGCTGTTGTGGTTTTGGGGTTTTTGTTTTTTGTTTCGGTTTGGTTTCTTTTCTTCTAAATTTTGTAATTAAAACCATGAAGCACTGTGTTGAGAATACTGTGTGTAGCAATCCATTTTCTCTGCTGTTTGCAGGAAACTGTAATTGGTCTGTGCCCTACCAGAATCACTGCATCCTCCTGCAGTGTCACCAGCTGAGTGTGTGCCAAAATGCTGGAGAACAAGACATCAAAGATCTACTTGGAGGTAAAGCCATGCTTCAGGCTCCTGGTAGATCCAGGATCCTGGTTCTTTTGCTTCAAATGCCTACATTTAGACCTTGATAGGCTTTCACCTGAGGGAGGTGGGTTGTGAAATGCCGGCAGGATGGTTCTGTAGGTACAGCTCGTTGAAATAGGTCTTTGACAATGTCCTAGGGACTCTGACATTTGCATGTGCATGATGGTCTTGAAATCATAGAATCATCAAGGTTGGAGGAGACCTCTAAGATCATTGAGTCCAAACATTAACCTGTCACTGCTGTAACCCCTAACCCGTAAACCATATCCTCCAGCACCAGATCCAGACACTTCTTGAACACTTCCAGGGATGGTGACTCCACCACCTCCCTGGGCAATAATCCAGTGCCTGAACACCCTAACAGTGAAAACTTTTGTCCTAACATCTAATCTGAATCTCTCCTGTCTCAGCTTATGGCCGTTTGTAACTGTGATTTTTGTCACTGTTACTGAGTAACAGTTTGTTTCCATGTTGAAGACATCACTCTTTCGAGCCATTTGCATGCCACACGCTGTCCTTGCAAAAATAAAGGCATAACAGATGTATTTATATTTTTTAAGAGAAAGGAAAAATGTCTTGGCATTGTTTTTTTCCAAGATTGCCAGGATTTTGTTCCAGAGGCAACAGGCTGCTTCTATAATCAGAGCAGCAATTGCTCTTGGTGACTTTCCAGTGCCAGGGTATTCAATTTTAATTAAGTGACACAATAACAAACTGGAACTTATTCATAACTGGGGAATCAATCTTCTAAAGTATGTTTCAAGAGTTCGTTGTACCCAAGTTTGAAAAAAAGAGTTTGTTCATGGTTCTTTTTGGGTTGGCAAAGGTTTCTTTGCAGTGTGGCAACTGGACCTGTGATAAGCAGATGGGGTTTATGTCCCTATAGATCTAGCTCACTAGTTGTGGAGGAAATTATCCTGAAGTGTGAAAGTGTAAGTGGAAATTTCCTCTCGGTTTTAAGAGGAGAAAATTATGAATCCAAACACAAAGGCTTTGCTGATGATGTGTAACTTTGAAAGCAAGAGTCTTCTTTTTGGGAGCTGACATGGGTAAAGCTGATCCTGTTCATAATGTGCTTTGACATTGGAGCTCTTTACAATTCCCTCCATTACACCTCTTTTGTGAAATTAATTCCCTGGTTGGGCAAATACCAGAGGTCTGTGGCAAAAAACCCAAACCAACCAAAAAAACCCCAAAGGGATTATGTGCAATGAAGGCAGGGGGTCTGAGTTGCCATGTTCTTGTGACTTCAGGACTGATTTGTTCCAGTTGCACTATGTGTGCTGCAGAAGATTGTTCTGGTTTGCATGTTGGGGGTGTTGGGGTTAGATTTGGGCTTAAGAGTTTTATTCTTAAAAAATTCATTGGTTTTGTCTTTCTGAAGACACTGTCAGCGCGAAATGGGAAAGAATCCTGTTTCACCAGCAGAGCTATCCACAGAAAAAGGAGAGGATGCTGAACGCACAGGTTGACCAACACACTGTGGAAAACCTGTTCTCAACTGCTCAGACTGGCAAGATTCACTTGAGGCATTTACTTGAGGCTGACGGTATAGGTGTCACAACAAATAAAACAGAACCAATTGCAAGCCAAGCTGCCACCACCACCACTGCCCCAGTCGTAACAACAAACATTACAAATGCAACTGTCTTCATTACTGCTAATGAAACAACTGCCAAAGCCTCAAACGCCTCTGGAGGTTCTGAAGCCGTGTCATCCACTGCCTTTTCTCCCAATTCTGATAACAGCTCTGCTTCTACTTCCAGCCATGTCGCCCCGAGTGCGAGCACCATCCAACCATCAGGAAATAATAACTCTGTCTCAGTATTTTCCCCCACGTCTGCTCCCCTCACTGTTCCTTCTGGGGCAGGTACTCACACAGAGCAGACTCATCCAGCTGCCACCACCACCAGTGCTCCCCTCTCTAATCACCTCACCACTGCTGGAGCTGACCCGAAGACACTGACCACCACATTGACCACCCTCACGCCACAGGATGCAAAGACATCTTCCACTGCTTCCACACATGCCACAGCACTCACCCCCTCAGAGAGTTCTCACTCTGCGACTCCACTGCATGTCAGTACATTGCTAGACCTAAAGCCAGGAGTGAGTACAACCACATCACCCTCGAATGAATCAACTTCTGCCCTGAGCTCTACAAGAAGTGCCATGGTTTTAACTACAGCCTCTACAGTAGAAACTACAACTGAGCATGGGATAAAATCAACATCTGACATCTTTGCAACAACCAAGGCTCCAACAGATGCACCCAAAACAACAGCTTTGGGCCTTGCAGAAACTCAGGGCACAGACAGTGAGTATCTTCTCATTGCTGCTGAGCCCCTGACTCACTACTTAGTGGACAGAAGTTCCCTTCTTGCAGTGCTCTTAGTTGGTACGGTTTTTTTCATAACTGTTATAGTTCTTTTCCTCATGCAGGCCTACGAGAGCTACAAGAAGAAAGATTACACACAAGTGGATTACCTGATCAATGGAATGTATGTGGACTCAGAGATGTGAAGGGATGAGGATAAAACAGTGGGCAGAGAGAAGGAAAGGAGATTCAAAGACTGCCTGACTCCTTTTTCCTTCCCACTTGCCTATAACACAAAGTGAAAGTGCTTCCAAATTTACTTCTAGTGCAATTGAGGAGAAATGCCATGTACTGTATTAAGAGAAAAAAATAATAATTTTGTATTCAACTGTGCAACAGGTTGCTGTAAAAACATAAAAACAAGGAATAATTTTTAACACTTTCATAATGCACAATAGCTTTGGCCATTATTTTTTCATTGCAAAACAAACCTAACAAGGGGTAAGCTGCCATCCTCAGAAAATGCTGTAACGCTTCTTCAACTGGTTACAGTGCAAGTTCCTTGTGTTTCATCTGTTTCATGTGTGCTCCTCTGAAAACAGAGCAAAGGATGCTGTCCCCATTTGCTAAGTGCTCCCAAATGGCCAGATGAGAAGTGAGGAGTACTGTTGCAGCAGGGAACTTTGAATTCGGTGTGTGTCATATTTCAGTCTGCTTCTTGCTTGTACAGAGGTCTGTTTACAAGGTATTGTAAACTCTGTTTACTGCTAACCCAAGGCATCTTTTCACCATGGAGTGGATTACTGTGCCTCTGCACTTAAATGATCTTATTTTTGTATTCAATTAATAAATGGGGGCCTGGAAGGGCATAGCATGTGTTTCTCTTTTCATTCCTGGCCCTGCCAGTTCAGAAGCAAAGCAAATGGGGTTTTAGGGCTTAAGCAAATTAGCTCCACAGTATTCCAAGGATGGGGGCTTTGAAGACCTCACTGGAAGCATGGAGATGTCACAGAATAGAATCATAGAATCAACCAGATTGGAAAAGACCTCAAAGATCATCGAGTCCAACCCTACCGTGGTTACCAGACCATGGCACTAAGTGCCACATACAGTCTCAACTTCAAAACCTCCAGGGATGGTGAATCCACCACCTCCCTGGGCAGCACATTCCAATGCCAAGAAGATACTGATCATCTTCCAGAGTCTGTAATTTCAGCCCAGTGTGCTGCCAGTCTCCCAGGTATGCAGACCCACAGATTGCTTATTACCTCTAATGCTTAGAGCATCAGGCTCTGTCTGGGCTTTTGGTTTGCATTCAGGACTAGCACAGAGTTGCCAGTATTTTTTAAAGTTTATTGCACATGCAGTTGCAACTCACCTCCCAAGATGTTCACCTGAGAGAATGAGTAGAAAACACTTGATTTTTAGTCAAGTGTTCTTTAGTGACTAATGCATCTTATTTGAATGATACGCACATACTAATAGCAAAATGCTGGAACAAGGTGTGCTCTATTTTTTTTTAACCATACTGATAGTTTTTCTCTCAGTTTGAATTAGTTGGCTTTTCTTTAATCCTGCTTCTATGTAATCTTGGGTGAGGGTGATAATAAGCAAACCTCAGAATTTGAGCTACTGAGTTTTGGTTTGATTATTTATCCAAACTTGGCTGTTTGGAATTTGGAAGGAGTCTTTACACTGAAGAGGTTACTTTGTAGATGACTTCATCATCAGCTGAAAGTGCTACAAAAACAGCTGCAGATAACACAAGCAGCAGCAGAGCCAAGGGGCTGTTTGTATGAAATGGGTGGGAGATAGTTCCCTGAATCTTACCCAACACAAATTTTGAGTGCAAAAATTTCAGCAAGTAGAGCATATTGAGGAAAGAAATTTCTCTGGAATGTCAGTGGATGTCAGTGTCAGGTTGCATTTTGCAGTACTTTTGCACAGACTGCATCTGCATGCCAATAAGCAGTAGGTTAGAGCATCTCTCAGGCTAGAAAGGATAGTGTGGGTTTCATGGTCTCACTCATTGAAAAGCTTGAGTATAAGCCACAAAATTCACACCACATTTACTGGAAGGGAAAATAATGTTCGAGGGTCTCAGTTTTATTGTATTTTAAGGTTATTTTTAAGTGGTTTGCCCTGAGCAGGAGGGAACTGGACTCTGATTTCTGCAGTCTTCCAGGAGCAACCCATGTGCAGCATCTATGCAACAAGGTGCTGGGAACATCCCCCCTACAGCTGAGGAGTTGCACCCTGTTGAGATGCTTGGGACTGTTCCCACCTCAGCACAACTGTTTTGAGCTGCTTGCAGATGTCAGGCAGATGCAGCTCCACCACAAAATCCAGAGACAGATCTTCACATAGGGATCTCAGGTTTCACCTTAATTCCAGGTGAGTCACTAACCACAGACCTAAGCATGTGGTCTTCCAGCTCTGCTCCAGATCCTGAGATAAGAGCTGTCTCCTCGGCTCCCTGCCATCTCCCAGGTAACGAGATGAGTGTTACCTCATATTCAGCTCACTTCTTTTCCTCCTCGTTTAGGCATCTTGGATAAATGCTTGTGTTTTGATAGGGTGAATCCAGGCAGTAGTGCTCTCCTGTCTATGTGAGTAAATTTCTGCCTGTAGGAATTGCCTTCCTGCAAAAAGGGTCAGTGTTGCAGCTGCTCTGCTATTGTTCTGCAGGATTCTTTTTTTCCAAGTTGCTTGAGCCATTTTCACAAACACAAACTATGATCATCAGAATTAATTGCTTATCCTGGAAATGGGGAAATTTTTGGATGAATTTCACGCGAACTGTGGCCTTCTTCCTTTTGGTCTCTGTGGTGTCTCTTTCATAGACACAAAGTTGGACACCAGAAGGAAGTTTGTGGATTTGCATTAGTTTTTATTCTCTTCTTTGAAGAGGTATTGGGCTCCTGTACTGATTTCTTAAAGAGAGTAGTAAGAGAAGGGAGAGGAAAGTGGCATTACTTAAAAAAACCAAACCTCTTGAGTTTTCTTCTTTAAAAGCAGATACTTTTAAAGATTGGTTTATTAAAAACAAATAAAACCCTTCGGGGATAATTTCAGTGCCTATGATATAATTACAGGAGTTGGAATTGGGTTACAACTTATTTACATGAGTCTTGGGGAGTTTCTCATGGACACAGTGAGAATATTACAACTACATCATGGCTAAATGAAACCACCACTATAAAAATCTTTGTGGCTTCTTAGCAGGTTCTTACAGGAAGGTGAGTACTCATCAGCAGCTTGATGCAGTTCCCACAGCTCTGGTATGTTTACATCCAGGTCTCCTTGTCAGATACTGGCACAGCCTGTCTTTTTTGTTCTTGTTGAGTTACTGTACTTCCAGGTGTGAGTGACTTTCTCAGCAGAAACCAAGATTTTTAGTGTAAGGCTGAGCACCAGAATGAGTCTTACCTCAGTGCATTTGTTGGAAGTTTGCTTGCAAAATTGACAGTGTAACAATAGATAGGGTTGTACCAAGTTGTTTAGAAGACATCTGCCAGGGAACTGCCAAGAACAACATTCTGCTGCTGTGAGCAGAGCATATCTGATGCATATTGGGTTTCAACCTGTTGCATGGCCTCTTTCTCAATAAAACAGGAACATCCTGGAATTAAATTTAGATCAGATTAATTCTAAATGTTACCTCCCTCTTGCTTAATTACCTGCATTAGAAGTATGTTGCACTAGGCAGAAGAGAAGAAAGGAAATAATGGAACATAAAAGCATTTAAAGGACTAGTAGGAATGTAGAACTTTTTAGCTGCAAATACGAATTTTCAATATGCCACGTGGTGTCCAGAGAGTTAAAGAACATATGCAGAGTTCTCAAGCATGACCTTTAAAACAGCTAATGCACATAGCTGGAAGGTGCCCAGGGAGGTCTGGAAGTGGAGGTATCATGGAGTTAGTTTCTCTGGATTTGTCTGGTGGCTGCTCATTTTTGGCATCGAAAAAAGAAACCTGAGCCCTGCTCTACTGAAGCATTTTTAAGGGCTTTTTTTCCACTGTGGCTTCTCTGGTATGCAGTAAATGCAAGTGTCCTGGTCTCAGCTGGGAAGAGCTAACTTTCTTCTTAGTAGCTGCTACAGTCCTGTGTTTGGGACTTAGTATGAGAACAGTGTTGATACCACTCTGATATTTGAGTTGTTGATTCGCCGTGACCAGCTGGGGTTAAATTGTGACAGCAAGTTCACATTGCAGCATCTCCCCTGACCAGGGCAACTCCAGTTCCCTCCTTTCCGTGGCCTCCACGTCTCATGAAACTCAATTTCCTTTGTTGTGCTTGGCTGAAATTGGCCCGTGGGTTAAAAAGCAAATGTTTCCATCTTACAAAAAGTATGGGCTCATAAAGTTTGTGCTTTTCTGGAAGAAACCAAGCTAAAGAACAGCACAGCCCAGAGCTGTATTGATTCTTTGCTAGAAGGCGTAAGCAGTCCAGGATTAGGGATAGCTTTGACTTTTTGGTCCTGCTGGATAGTTAGTTATTGTGGGGACAGCTGGGCTTTGCTTTACAGCATTTTGGGTTGATGTCCTTGTAGTTTCATGTGCTTAGATCTTGTCTTTTCGTGCTGCTGCTGGGCTGGATGGTTTCCTCAGAGCAGCTCTGCCTTGGCTGAGCAGTGCCAGCAGGTTGTGCTGCGGGGCTCCAGAACAGCCTGCCTGTTCAGCCTGCCTCTGGCAGGGAAACCCCAAAGGCTCTGGGGGAAAAAAAAAAGTCTCTGCCTGCTCTGGGGCTTCCTGGTTAGCCCTCGGTGATGTTCAACTTGTGCCTTGGTTGGAATTAAGTTTGAATTTAAATGTTTGAAAGAGAGGTCTTTCGCTAGCATGCAGAACTTGCCCAACACCCTGCTGCTCCCAATTAAAAAGACTAAAGCTGTTTGCATGGGATTGTACAATCTGTCTGAAAAAGCAAGCAAATAACTTGTCCTCATAAGAAGTGGCTAAATATTTTAACCCCTTCAGGCTGGGACAGGTCAATTACACTGATTTGTGTGTCACGAACTTATGCAAGTTGCTCCTGTTTGCTGCATGCAGACAGCATAGCCAAAGGTTGTGAGTGTAAATGTTGTCAAAACTTCCACATAACTCTTGTAACCCTATGGAATGGAGAAGAAAGGGGGAGGGATTTATGCAGCTGGAAAATGGTCACATTAGAAGTGATTATTCATGGCTAGTTAAAAATAGTAATC